TTACACTATCCTCATTTTTTTGGATTCTTTTTTCTTTTTGCTGTTCTGGTTGGGCGTTTTTTGCTTCCTTATATTCCAAATCGATGGTTTGCTCCTTGGATTTACGTACTCTATTATTGAAGCTATGTAAATTATTCTTTATTTCAGTTAAAGCCTCCTTCGTTTCTAACTGTGCAGCGATCGTTTCTGACTGGTACTTTTTTATGCTCTTGAGGCCCTCACTGAGTTCATTGAGCATCCTTATAAGCAGTATTTTGAACTCAGCATCTGTTAGGTTGCTTATCTCCATTTCGCTTAGTTCTTTTCTTGGGGTTTTGTTCTGTTCTTTCATTTGGGACCTGTTTCTTTGTATCCTCATTTTGCTGCCTCCCTATGTTTGTTTCTGTGTATTACTTAATGAGAGGTATGGGGCTCGCTGAGACCCGATGCTGCTCGTTTGAAAGAATTTAGGAAAAACCCGAAGCAGGATCCAAGACAGGCCAATCCTATGGTTAAGCAAGTAGCAACAGCTTGGGTGGGCCTGAAAGTTGGGTGGGGCGGGGCCTCAGGGAGTCAGCAGGGCGGGGCTACCAGTGTGAGCCAGGTTGCTGGAGTCCCAGATATGGTGACTGCCGCCCCAGGGAAGGGCTCACCAAAGGAACAAAGGCCTCTGACAGCACGTTTGTCCCCGAGAAAGCCCCCTCTCCAGCCCTCGCTCCAGTGCCAAACAGCTCAGTTCCTCCCTGTATTTCTCTGGTGCCCCTGGAGCTGCCTCCCCTCCGAGCTCAGAGGGAGAGAGTCCGATAAGTCCGTGCGCGGGCCCTTTATGGAGCTGCCTGTGGCTCCAGCCAGGTCAGCTTCCCTGAGCCTCAGTTTCTGCTGGTTTTTCCAGCCAGAAGTTATGGGGACTTCTCTTCCTGGCACTGGAAACCTGAGCGGGGCACCTGGTGTGGGACGGGGACCCCTCAGTCCTCAGGAAGGACCTTCCCAGCCTCGGGAGCCTCCTGATTTTTATCCGCCACACTTGGGTGTGGGACCAGCCCCTCGCGCCGCTGCCGTGCCGCTGCCGTGCCGCTGCCGCCACCCCTCGCGCCGCCGCCCCTCCTACCAGTCTGGATGTAGCTGCCTTTTTTTAAAATTCCGTAGTTGTAGGACTTCCATTCAGCTTGATTTCAGGCGGTTTTGGATGATGGTTGTTCTGTAGTTTTGTTGTAACTTGGATGTGGTTGTGGGAGAACACGATACTGCGTTTCCCTACGTCGCCATCTTGACCGGACCTGTTTTATTTTTTAATAGTGGCCATCCTAATGAGTATGCGGTGATATCTCATTGTGGTATTGATTTACATTTCCCAAATGACTAATGATGTTGAACACTTTTTTTTTTTTTTTTTTTTTTTAACAACTTCCACGCCTTCCTGAGGACCCCCCAACCCCAGCAGCTGCAGGAGCTGTCCTGCCACCACTGCCGCTGCCTGGTGAGCACGTGGCTCCAAGCTCCACCAATTGTCACTGCCCAGCACTTGTTTATGTACTTACTGGCCATTTGTATATATTCTTTGGAGAAATGTCTTTTCAAATACTTTACCTATTTTTTAATTGTTTTTTGTTGTTGTTGAATTATGAGAGTTCTTTATTCTGGATATAAGCCCCTTATCAGATATACAATTTGCAGATACTATCTCTGATTTTGCAAGTTGTCTTTTTCACTTTCTTGATGTGATTTAGAAGCACAAAAGTTTTTAATTTTGATTGAGTCTAATTTATCTGTTTTTATCATGTCACTTGGGCTTTCAGATGTTCTACTTGCTGTCTTCAGTGATTTATCCGAAAATCTGATTTACTCACTGGAAACATAACAACTGTGTTATTCTTAGTTTTCTTTATTAATAATTATAAAGCACTTGATTTAAAATGTTTGCCAATAATACCTAGAAGAACTCAGAAATGTTGATACTCACTGAGCTGGTAAACCCATTTCTGTGAACTCAGCCTCAGGAAATAGTTTTACAGCAGAAATGTGTCCCATGTACCCAGAGAAGATTTCACTGTCACCTGTCAGAGGAATGCGGGAAGCCTGTTCGATAGCAGAGGAGGGGAGCAAGTCCATAGTGGTACACTATTAAGCAGCTATTAACTGTTATAATTATGAAGCTTATTATTATTTTTATTTGTTTTAATTTATTTCTTTAGAGAGAGAGACACACACATTGATGTGAGAAACATTGATCATTTGCCTCTGTACGCCCCCTACTGGGGATCGAGCCTGCAACCCGGGCATGTACCCTGACCGGGAATTGAACCAGGACCTCTCAGTCCAGTGAGCCACACCAGCTGGGCAATTATGAACCTTATTTAGTGAAAATGTTTATGATGTGATGCTCAATGAAAGAAAAAACACAAGTGTGTGCCCATCATGATTAAAAATATGTATGAAATAATTTACACTAGATGGAAGGGTGTACAAAATTATAGGTGGTTTTATTTATTTTTATTACATTTAATATTGATACTTTATCTTTACAATTAAAAATTAAGTAACTCTGGCTGGTTTGGCTCAACAGTTAGAGCATCGGCCTGAGGACCAAAGAGTCACGGGTTTGAGTCTGGTCAAGGGCACGTACCTCGGTTGCAGTTCATTCCCGGCCCTGGTCGGGGTCATGCAGGAGGCAACCAGTTGATGTGTCTCTCTCACATCAATGTTTCTCTCTCTCTCCCTCTTTCTGTCTTCCTCTCTCCCTCCCTCCTACTCTATCAGAAGATCAACAGAAAAATATCCTCAGGTGAGGATTAAAAAAAAATTAAGTAAAAAAAAAATATGTGCATGACATTTCAAATTGATGGGTGAAATGGTAACTGGTAGTTAGATCCTAAGGTTTGTTTATTCTTATCTCACCCTAACTGCTTTTAATAGTAATTATCTTTTTTTATTATCATGATCATTTGCTGTACTTATTCATTAAGAATTTGAATAGAGATATTTTTAGTTTGTGTACATTTTTATATCAAATCCAAACACTAATGTTAACATGAGTTTGGTATTAAAATTACTATTATTTTAATTGTTATCAGCATTACAATGTGCTAAAAGAAAGGTAATGATGATGATGGTGATATTATGTTAATAATAGAGATCAGAGAAACACTTTCTCAGGCATCTTAAGAAAGAATTATTATAATAGCCCTGGCCAGTGTGGCTCAGTTGGTTGGAGTGTCATTTTATACACCAAAAGGTTGTGGGATTGATCCTGTTCAGGGCATATACCCAGGTTGCAGGTTTAAGCCCCAGTCAGAGTGCATGCGGGAGGCAACATTTCACATTGATGTTTCTCCCTCTCTTCATTCCTCTTTTTCTAAAATCAATAAAAGCATATCCTTGGGTGACGATTAAGAAGGAGAAAGAGTTATTATAATAATTATTTTACATGTAAACAAATCAATCACCCCAGCTTTTGAAATAAATTTCAAATGAATCAAAGATATGAGTTTTTATTTTTAAATAATTTTTCTTTATTGGTTTTAGAGAGAGAGGAAGGGAGAGGGAGAGAGAGATAGAAACATCGACGAGAGAGAACATCGATTGGCCACCTCCTGCATGTCCCCCTCTGGGGATTGGGGCCACAACGTGGGCATGTGCCCTGACTGGGAATCAACTGGTGACCTCTTGGTGCATGGGTTGATGCTCAACCACTGAGCCACACCAGCCAGGTAAGAGTTTTTATTTTGAAAGGAAGACATGAAAGAAATAAAAAAGTAAGCACAATACAGGGTCACATGTAGTTTGCACACCCAAGGTAAGGCCACACTTTGAATGGCTGCACCCAGAGAGAGAATGTGCCACTGGCTAGGCTATGGACTGAGTCTGTGGATCCCCTGACCCTCTGGCCTTTGGCTTCACCTGAGTGACAGTGGTCTGGGGTACAACCAGTAACTGTGAGGTGATCCCTCTTCTGTGGGTTTGCTAGGGCAGCAGGTAGGGAAAGGCCACAGAGAAAGGCCAGGCTCCTACAGCCAGCCCTGGGCCCCCACCAACCCCTCCTGCTGACTTGGCCTCCGCCTGGCTTGGGAGAGGCAGAGGCGTCGTCTTGCTCTCATATGTGGGAAGGCTATGAAAAGAAAAACCCCGGTTGGCCCAAACATTTAAACAAGAACTACACTGGGATCTTTTGTTCTCACTCAAGTGTGGTCAGAATTAATTTGGAGGTTCAAAAGAGGATTATTTTGCTGTTTTTGTTTTTGAATCTGAGTTACTTAATGCAAGGATGCAGAGGGAAATACAGAACAAAACACATGGCTGAAGTCTGTCCCATGTATTGGGGCATCCCCAGGTCATTCTTCAGGGCACCATTTTGTTAGCATTCAGGGGGCCTCTGACTCAAATTTGACATCCAGCCTGCTGCTGGATTTCCTGTGAAAAGGCCCCAGGGATAGAAGTCAAACAGTTGAGTGTGCCTGGGTGTCTGAGAAACACACAGAGCTTAAAAGATCTTTTTTTAAAAATTTTATTTTTGTTACAGATGTTTCTCCATTTTTCCCTCATTGACACCCTCCTCCCCTCCCCCCCCCACTCTGCCCCCAGCTTTGTTGTCCATGTCCATTGGTTATGCCTTCATGCATATAAGTTCTGTGGTTTATCTCTTCCCTCCCCCCAGTACCCCCTCTTCTGAGGGTTGTCAGTCTGTACCCTACTTCCACGTCTCTGGGTCTAGCCTATTCCTCAGACTGTTATGTTCATTATATTCCACAAATATTAAAAGGTCTTAACCGGCCGGTTTGGCTCAGCAGTTAGAGCGTCGGCCTGCGGTCGGAGAGACCCAGGTTGGGTTCCTGCTAAGGGCACGTCCCTCGCTTGCAGTTTGTCCCCGGCCCTGGTTGGGTCGTGCGGGTGGCAGCCACTCAATGTGTCCCTTTCATGTTGATGTTTCTCTTTCTCTCTGTCTCTCTCTGAACAGAAAATGGAAAAATGTCCTCAGTGAGGATAAAAAAAAAAAAGATCTTAACCTTTTTTCTCTTTCTCCTCAGGTTTAATAGGGAAAAATTGCTTTCTGCAAACAACTGAAAAAGCTGCCCTTGGACATTTTCTTTGGCCCTCATGGAGCAGCTGGAACTTGTACTGTGAGGCCCTTGACGGGACAAGCTGTCACTGAGTGAGCACCTGGAGTGGCTGTCGCCATGGCCAGCAAGAGGAAGTCCACCACCCCGTGCATGATCCCCGTGAAGACTGCGGTGCTGCAGGAGGCCAGCGCGGAGGTCCCGCCCGCCGAGGCTTTGCCTGAAGGGCCCCCGCAGGAGCTGCCCCCAGCAGCGCCTGCCCCCAGCGGCGAGGTCGCCCAGATCTCCAGCAGTGCGGAGAGTGCTACGCTGGCTACGCTGGCCAACGGGCATCGGAGCACTTTGGATGGCTATTCGTATTCCTGCAAACACTGCGATTTCAGATCCCAGGACATAACCCGATTTGTTGGACACATGAACTCTGAGCACACAGACTTTAATAAAGACCCGACTTTTGTATGCACTGAGTGCAGTTTCCTGGCAAAAACTCCTGAGGGGCTTTCTCTGCACAATGCCAAGAGTCACTCAGGGGAAGCCAGCTTTATGTGGAATGTGGCCAAGCCAGACAATCGTGTCATCGTGGAGCAGAGTGTCCCCGAGAGCACCAGCACTCCTGACCCACTGGGCGAGCCCAGCACCGATGGGACCGATGGACAAGCCGAAATCATCATCACCAAAACTCCTATCATGAAGATAATGAAAGGCAAAGCTGAAGCCAAAAAAATTCATACACTAAAGGAAAATGCCCCTAGTCAGCCCATTGGTGAGGCCTTACCAAACCCCTCAGCTGGGGAAGCGGAGGCAAAAGAGGGGGACCACTCCTTTGTCAACGGGGCAGTTCCGGTCAGCCAGGCCCCTACCAGCTCTGCCAAGCCTCCCCACGCAGCCAACGGGCCCCCGCTGGGGACAGTGCCAGTTCTGCCGGCTGGCATGGCTCAGTTTCTCTCCCTCCAGCAGCCCCCGGTGCACGCCCAGCACCACGCCCACCAGCCACTGCCCACCTCCAAGTCCCTTCCCAAAGTGATGATCCCCCTGAGCAGCATTCCGACGTACAATGCGGCCATGGACTCCAACAGCTTCCTGAAGAACTCTTTCCACAAGTTCCCCTACCCAACCAAAGCCGAGCTCTGCTATTTGACTGTGGTCACCAAGTATCCAGAAGAACAGCTTAAGATCTGGTTCACAGCCCAGAGGCTGAAACAGGGGATCAGCTGGTCCCCTGAAGAGATCGAAGATGCCCGGAAGAAGATGTTCAACACAGTCATCCAGCCTGTCCCTCAGCCCACAATCACCGTCCTGAACACTCCTCTGGTTGCCAGTGCTGGCAACGTGCAGCATCTCATCCAGGCCGCCCTTCCAGGCCATGTTGTGGGGCAGCCAGAGGGTACAGCAGGGGGACTGCTGGTCACTCAGCCACTGATGGCCAATGGGCTGCAGGCACCAAGCTCGTCTCTCCCTCTAGCAGTTACATCAGTCCCTAAGCAGCCAACTGTTGCGCCCATTAACACTGTGTGTTCAAATACAACGTCAGCGGTGAAGGTGGTCAATGCGGCCCAGTCGCTGCTCACAGCGTGCCCCAGCATAACCTCCCAAGCCTTCCTAGATGCCAGTATCTACAAAAATAAGAAATCTCACGAACAGCTGTCAGCTCTGAAAGGTAGCTTCTGTCGGAGCCAGTTCCCAGGACAGAGCGAAGTGGAGCATCTGACCAAGGTGACTGGCCTCAGCGCCAGGGAGGTGCGGAAGTGGTTCAGTGACCGGAGGTACCACTGCCGGAACCTGAAGGGCTCCCGGGCTGTGCTGCCTGGGGACCCCGGCTCCATCGTCATCGACTCTGTGCCAGAGGGGCCCTTCTCCCCGGTGTCCAAGGCCCCCGAGGTGACCTGCATCCCGACGGCAGCCACCCTGGCCACCCACTCTTCTGCCAAACGACAGGCATGGCACCAGACCCCTGACTTCACACCAACCAAATACAAGGAGCGGGCCCCCGAGCAGCTCAGAGCCCTGGAGAGCAGTTTTGCACAAAACCCTCTTCCTCCCGACGAGGAACTAGACCGCCTGAGGACGGAAACCAAAATGACCCGAAGAGAGATTGACAGCTGGTTTTCTGAGAGACGGAAGAAAGTGAGCACCGAGGAGACCTCGAAGGCCGAGGGGGGTGCCTGTCCGGAGGAGGAGGAGGCGGCTGCCGAGGACCAGGGAGGAGCCGAGGAGTCGGCCAGTGACCTCAGGGCCCCAGGGGAGAACGGCTCCCCAGAAGTGCCCGGCAGCCACTCGCTGGCTGAACGCAAAGTCAGCCCCATCAAAATCAACCTTAAGAACCTGCGGGTCACTGAAGCCAACGGCAAGAGCGAGCTGCCTGGGCTGGGCGCCTGCGAGCCTGAAGGCGAGGGGCCGCACCAGCTGGCCGCGCAGCCGCCGGGCAAGGTGAGCTGCAAGAAGACAGCGCAGCAGCGGCACCTGCTGCGCCAGCTCTTCGTGCAGACGCAGTGGCCGAGCACCCAGGACTACGACGCCATCCTGGCCCAGACAGGCCTGCCGCGGCCAGAGGTGGTGCGCTGGTTCGGTGACAGCAGGTACGCCCTGAAGAATGGCCAGCTGAAGTGGTACGAAGACTACAAGCGGGGCCACTTCCCTCCAGGGCTGCTGGTCATCGCCCCTGGCAACCGGGAGCTGCTGCAAGACTACTATGTGACACACAAGACGCTGTATGAGGAGGACCTGCAGAGCCTCTGCGACAAGACCCAGCTGAGCGCCCAGCAGGTCAAGCAGTGGTTTGCAGAGAAAATGGGCGAGGAGACCCGGGCCGTGGCAGACAGCGGCAGCGAGGACCAGGGCCCTGGCGACCCTGCGGCAGTGCACAAAGGGCTGGGCGACACCTATTCGGAGGTGTCTGAGAACAGTGAGTCGTGGGAGCCCAGTGCCCCTGAGGCCAGCTCAGAGCCCTGTGACACACCAAGTCCCCAGGCTGGACGTCAGCTGGGTAAGGAGCCCCCAGGAGCCCTGGCTGTCCTCTGTGGGTCTGAGAGGGGACACCCATGGGTGGGCCCTGGATTTACTGCAGGGAGCATCTGCTGTTTCAGAGGCTGCTTTGGGGCACCTGGCAGCAGATGTCACCAGAGCTTAACTCGGTAAAGGGTTGAGAGTTGTTTTTTCATTTCATTTCATGTGTGTGTTTTTTTTAAAACTTGTGCAGGGGAAGGAACACCGTGAACCTGTAGGGTCTGCACTTTTCTAGCCATTTCCTAGCAATAGGACAGTAGTCAGAACGTCACCTGAATAGGCAGACCCAGAGCCGCCGGGAAGGAGAGGGCAATAGGACTTCTGAGGGAATTCGGCTCAGATGGGTAAACGGACGGAGAGAGTCTTTACTGTCCTTAGATATGTGAAGTATTCTTTTAATGGTGAAAATCCTATAATTTACATTTTAATTGTTCTTCCTGATATAGAAGTAATGGAAAATCATCTTCCCTCTTAGACATATACGGAATCAGGAATGGAATTAGTACTTGAAAGAAAACTTTGTAAGGTTATTTTATTTAAGACAGCTTTCTTGAAGCCACAGACCAGGGTTGATTTTGGTATTGATTTTCCAGGGTCTTGGGCCCTGAGTTCCCAGCCTCTTCCTCCCTCCTCATTCTTAGGTCTTGTCTCCTCGTTGGCGGCCCCCTCACAGGGCAGCCAGGAGCCATGTAACCGAGCTCTTCACAGGAGGCCGCGGAGACTGAGCAAGTGCCTGGGTTCTCAGACTGTCTGATTTGTGAACCTTTGGGAGTTGGCTCTAAAGCCTGGTATTCTTGGGCATCATCTCCTGCACTGGGCTTGCCCCCGGGGAGTGCCCACCTGGGCTTTGGCTTTGCCGGAAAAGCAGCATAGATTGCTGGGAACTCAAACAATCTAGTTTCTTTTGGTTTTTTAAATTAAAGTTTTACTAAATTATATTGGGCAGCTGGAAATAGGCTGGTGATTACACAGCATTGTGACTGTACTTCGTGCCACTTACTGTACACTTAAAATGGTACGGCTTACGGTGTGCATATTTACCACACATTTTAAAAACGAACCTGGAATTGGATGAATGGGTGTGAATCACAAGCATTCGCTCCCCTCAGCTACTGACTCCACCAGAAAGTGAAGTGCTGGTGTCCTGGGTGGGACAGAGCCAGAGCAGCAGGTGGCCCTGCCCCGTGGCATCGTCCTTTCCTATCTAAGGCATAACCGTGGGTGCAAGAAGGGCTTGTCTGTCAGCACCTGGCACCTCACGGCTTGTCACACCTCAGCGCAAGGGCCACTTCTGTACGCAGCACCGGCGATGGGTCTCTGTGAACAGCCCCACTGACTCTGACCACGGGCTGGACGTTAGAAATGAAGTGAAGACATCAGTAAAATACGTGTCAGAAATTAGACCCAGCTGCTGTTCATTAGAACGGTGTGTTCTGGAGAGCGGAAGGGAGAGGGCAGGCGGAGGCAGGTTAGGACAGGACTCCAGAGGAGTGGAGGCCCGGGGAGCTGGGCCGAGGGGACACAGGTTCCTGCCCCAGCTGCAAGGCCTGGGCTCGGCAGTGGCCCCGGCCAGACTGAGCAGCGTCCCTTCCTTCACCCACACGCCTCCTTCACATCCCCTCGGGCTGCAGAGTGAGGAGTGGCTGGCACGAAGGCACTGCTCATGGAACTGAGAGGTCCCCAAAGCCAGTGATGTGCCCCGGCTGGCAGGGAGGGCATCGCTGCCGCCCTGGGCTACACCGGGCAGCTGGCATGGAGGTGACGGCATGTGCTTTCTCCTCAGAAGCAGACTGAATCTGAGCCGATGACTGAAGGACTGGCCAGTCCAGGATGCCGCCTGCCACATGGAAGGGCCCCACCCAACTCTGCTGCCACATCCGCTCCATCCCGGCCTCGGCGCACACAGAGCTTCTGACCTCACCCCAGCCCAGGTCCCGCCCTGTCACCTTTGGCCGCCACCACCGAGCAAGAAGGGAGAGCAGTTCTCGTCAGTTTTCCTCCCACCATGTAGGGTCTCTCCTTTGCCTTCCAGTGGATAAAGTAGTTCAGATTCAGATTCATGGACCCAGAATCAAGTTTTTAACGTATAAGTTCGCCTATACACATTTAATGAAACATCGGATTAAAAACACTTTTATTACATAGAAACCTTGGTTAGCAAAGCAGTACATTGTCTTTTACATCATCTCTGAAAATGTCCTGTGTCTGCTCTCTGGACGTCGATGGGCCACACGTCCCCACACCTTGCAGGGGGCAGGGCTGTCTGCCCACGAGCCCACACCTGGAGCCCGCGCCCCTCACGGTCCTGGAGGAAGCAGGGCCTTTGAGGAGCCGCCACTCCGCTCCCTGCAGACCCGCCGGTGCTGATGGGGGCGCGGAGCCCGCCTGCCGCGGCCCAGACAGCGCCCGGTGCGTAGTGTTGCCGCTTACTGCGCTCTCGCTGTTGTAGTAGTACCGCTTTTTCCATGGAAGTTGGAATCATGGACCATTACTTTTCAGTTATCAGATCCACTAAAGAAACATTTGCTGTTAGGCCTAATGTACTGACTTATGTGCCCACATTTTCAAAAAAAAAATCTAGGCATGTTTAGAGTGAGAGGGAAACTGGAAACAGAAGCAGGGAGGGGCGAAGCGAGGGCAGGGCCACAGCCTGCGGCGCTGGGCCCTGCGGGTTGAGCCTCCACCCTCGCTGCACGCCTCGGCTCTGGGAGGGGCCGAGTGTGAGAACTGCAGGGTTCTCAGCGGGGTGGCCTCCTGCAGCACACCCAGAGCCCTCTGGCCGCCCGCCAAGGGCCTGGCGGCGTGCTGGGCACTCGCGCCAGGGGTGCTGGGCACCACCGGGCAGGTCCTTGTGAGGATTCATAGTCTCGAAGGTCTATATTTATATCTGCAAACTTGGAAACAAGGTCTGTCTACTTTAGCCTAACCCTCGTACCATTTTTTTTTTTTAATTGAGAAAAATCACAGGAAAAGGTGCCTTTGAAACATTGGGAAACTTGCTTACAGAGCTGTACTGGATGGTAAATCTGTCTCTCCGGACCGGCTGCTCTGAGCGCAGCAGGCAAAGGGAGGGTCCCCTGCAGCCCGCTCCCCTGGGCTCCACCTGCTTCCCAGAGCACGAGGCCTCGGGCACCCCGCCTGGCCCAGGCTGGCGGGCAGCATGAGGCAGCCCCAGAGGGAGGGCGGGGCTTTGGGCAAGAAGTGGTGCTGGGCAGGGCAGCACGTGAGGGAAAGCCCGTGTCTCCCACCCGCCCAGGGCATTGGGCCAGGCAGGACTCTCCACAGGCTCGGCCCGAGGATAAAGATGCTGTAGCACCTTCCACCTTCTCCTGTTCTTCGGACGTGTCTTCTCCTGTCCTCTCTGTCCCAACAGGGACCACCACTTAATGTGTTTCAAACAAATGACTTGTGAGTACTTGGCAAGCTTTGCAGTCTTTTTCTTTTGTATCCTTTCCATTTTGGGGTGTGATGCTATTTAGCCCCAAAGGCCTCTCTGCAGAATTGCCAAGAATGAGTTACTGCCTTCCTTCCGAGAACAGGTCCTGGAACGTCTCCTTTAGTGTTTGTGCACATGCAGGGTAATTATGCATACACATATGCAGGACAGATACTCATTTGACACTTTGCTCATGAGGTGGACACCTGACGTGTGCACTCGAGGAGCTTGGTGGCACGTGGGTGTTGGGGAAGGAGCCCGTGTTGGAGGGAACGCTAGCACGTGGGTCGCGCTGGGCAGCCCCACACGAAGCCATCTCTCAGTCTGAGACACACCCTGCCCGCACCCCCGAGCCCTGCACACACTGACCGAAGGGGTGTGTCTTTAGAGAGGATTTTCTTGATTATCTGTATTCTTATTTCCTTTACAACCCAAACAGCAAGACAGAAAAAATAAATTACATGGTGGACAAGTTCATGCAGGACAGAGAGCGACCCAGCCACGCAGCAGCTCATTTTTAAAAGGTGGCAGAGCTGGCCTGTCCCCCTCACCTTGTCCCTGCCCACCAGCCAGGGCCACACAGCGAATGACAGGACGGCCAGGTAAGGGGCCCAGCGGTGGACAGAGCCTTCTCCTCCTGTGCTCTTGGACCAGAGTGAATGAGGGGTGTGGGCCCCACCCTGGAAAGAACACGGTGATCAAAGGTGATAGATGGTCTGGTCATCGAGCAGGTGCCTAAAGGGGCGTGGCAGGTGCCCAGGGCTTTGGTGTGAGTGCCCGGCCTTGAACACAGCCAGCCAGGCACGGAGAAATAGCCACACTGGCCCAGAAATCGGGACTGTGCCAACAGTGGCGGCGCAAGACAGATCACTGCGGCGTCGCACGCCACCAGGGGGCAGCCCCTGATGCTGCCTGGGAGGAGGCGGGTCTGAGCTGCAGAGCTGAGAGGGTGGGGTCGGGTCAGCCCCTCGTGAGGAGAAGCCTGTTTGCTGAGGTGACCAGTCTCCGTCGCCGCACTGGACCGTCGGGCAGTGCAGCGCTGTCTTGGTGGCTCCATCAGATCATGTTTGGTTCATGTGCTGTTTACATGAGGCTGCAACCCAGTGTTCAGAGGCGAAACAGCTCATCGTGCTGATGCAGGAAATCTGAGTTTGTGGTACATAACTTTGCACGTTTTGATCACTCGTTTCACTCTTGAGGAGCTTTTTGGTCTGGGAGGAGGTCCTGGTCTCCGAGCCGAGGGTTCCTGAACCTGAACGCCCGGGCGGGGTGATGCCCGCACGTGGACTTCGGCAGCTGGCTGAGCGACTGGCAGTGTTGAGGTGACCGAAGCCCCGCCCCGGGGCCCCACACCCTGCTCTTCGAAGCCGAAGGTGGGAGCTTGGCGCCCGCGGGTGGTGCCCTGTAGGCTCCAGTGTGCTCCTGGCCCAGCCCACCCGCTGCCCGCAAGGCTCAGTGTGCACCCCGGCTGGGATGTGGCTCTTGTGGGTTTGTCCTGCTCGGTCAGCGGCCCAGTGACCTGGCCTGCGTCGCCCCCTCCCACCCTGGGACGTTAGTGCCAGGCTGCCTCTGGGCAGGTGGGCACCGGCCTTCTGGCTGGTGCTCGCGTCTCCCTGCACACCCCTCCCACACTCTCTGCTTGTGCTGCTGTCCTCGGCCCATTGCCTTGTCTTCCTGTTCTCTTCTCGGACCAAAACTGGGGATTGGAGCAGCTTTGTCCGTCAGACACCACAGCCCACGGGGATAAAGGCACTTTGCAGGAGAGGAGAGCCAGCCAGGAAAGAAATCTTAAAAAAAACCAAACCTGGAGTTTTGGCTTTTCCTCATGTTTCCCCCCCTTTCCTTGCTCAGAGTTTACCTGGCGCAGGTTATCAGTTTGACCCACCTTTTGCATGAAGTTTAAAAGTTCATGTATCCCATTGACTTGCAAGTCTTGGTTGTGTGTTGGAGAAAAGTCCTCTGACAGCTAAAGGTCTGCACAGCCAGCAGCCTGCCCGGGTGAGGACGGCGGGCTCAGCTCTCACTGCAGACAGGAGCCCTCCCTCTGCAGGGCCCCTGAACCCATGTCCTTCCACGCCTTTCCCTAGGGGCACAGGCCCTCCAGCCTTCCTGCCCAGGCCTGGGGCATCTTTGTGTGGCTTGGGGAGCACAGTCCGGAGGGAACGGCAGGCTTCAGAGCCTGCGGCCTTGATGTGTTAGAACCAGATCTTTCGGTTTGCAGGACTGCAAGGACTCACAGAGAACGTCTGGTTCCTGCCTTGTTTGAGCCCCAGAGCCTGGCCCATGCTGCTGCTCAGGCCGAGCCGGCCCAGCGGAGCGGGCAGGCCGTCTGACGGGCTGGGGGCGTCTCCTCTCCTGGCTGCTCGTGCCCTCCTGCTGTCCACGCAGGCCGGTGGCAGGCCAGGGCTCCTGAGGCTGTTTACCTGCCGTTAGTGCCTCTGCTTCAGGAGACGGGCTCGGGGGCGCGTGCACGCGTGAGCACTCGAGTGTGAGTAGCTGTGCTGTGCTGATGCTTCATGACTTCTCTTCCCGTCCACGACAGATGGAGGACTGAACGTCCTCAGTGTGGCTGGAGCTGAAGTGAAATGTCTAGGATGACAAAGGCTGTTCAGAATCACTGAACATAAAAAGCTGCAAGTGCGCGGTCTTTCCCGAGTCCAGCGCAGGCAGACACACTGTGAGGGTGAGAATCTGCCAGCACGGTGCCGGTTGGTCCTGGAATGTGTGTTTAGAGAGAGAATGTCACTCGCCCCTGGCTCCACCCCATACAGCTGTCTCGTTCTTGCAGTTTGCTTGAAAGGCAGGTAGGCTGGAGCCCCAGGTTGACCAGAGCTGATGTGAGCCGGCCCCTCCCGTCCCCCAGCAGGGATCCAGAATGGGAATCAGGCTGCTCAGTGAAAACCGGCCAGTGGCAGGGGAGAGGTGGTCACCCCAGTGCGGAGGAGTTTCCCGGCTTCTCAGCAGCTGCTTTGTTGAGCTGTGTCAGGAGGGTGACTGGGCCATAACTGTTATTAAAAAGAGAAAACACGCCAACCTTCCCCTCTGCCCTGCCGGCCATTGTTCATTGAGTTTACTGTGCAGTCTGTGGGAGGTTGCCAAAAGCCTGCAGATCCCTCCCCGGAGGCGATTCCTGGTTTTCACCACCACTTAGATCCCGGTCTCTGCTGACCCTTTGTTCCCCAGGGTGGACTGCGGAGAAGTGAGGAGGGGGGACTGTGGAGCAGTTCGCTTTTGATACACTTCCTGTCTCCGAGATGGAAGGAGTGATCATCTTGGTGCTATGAGGCAGCTGCCTTATGTGTTTGTCCAGAGGCAAATCGAAATGTTACCCAACTGTGCAGGAGGGTCCCACCTCCCGCCCAGTGTGAGAGCAAACCCAGCGGCCGCCTCGTCCTGTAGGCCGGGGTGGAATGGGGAGTCTGCCGGGGAGATGTTTTAGCAGAGGATGGAACTTGCCTTTGGACCACCGCTGTGCCCAGGCGGCAGAGGGGCTGCCCTCTGGGCCGGCTCCAGGCTCTCAAGGTCCCCTGTGGGGATGCTGCTATTTCTAAGATGCAAATTGCACATTTCCTAGATTTTGTATCTGTGGATGTGGATGAGGGAGGGCAACAGGGACAAACTGCTTGTACAATTTGAAACGGGCTGAAATGGTACTTCAAATCTTCTGATTGTTCCTAAATAAAAATGTAAAGACATTTCACATCTGCTGACTTTTATTTTGTGGGGGAGTCAGGGAAAAAAAAGCTAAAACAGTTTACATCTGCTGATTTCTTCTGTGGACAACATGAGTCCACAGTAAAGACATCTACATGACAGAAATGCGACGCTTTAGGAATGATGCCAAATAGGCCACTGAGTCGAGCCGCGAGTCCTCGGGTGTGTGGTAAGAGGACGTGGCAGGTCTTTTCCCTTTTTCCTTTGCAGAGGGGGTGGGGTGGGGGCTTGGTGAACATGCCTGCGGATCCAGGAACCTCACAATGGAACCGGAAGCAGCTCAGCTGAGCAAGTCCCTGGGTGTGGGCTCAGGCAGCGGCTCGCTGGGACACAGCCGTGGACGGGGTTGGCAGAGGTGGCCGGAGGAGGTGGCTGTGGGCTTCCAGGAGGGGACAGGGCCCGATGGACACCTGGACGTGAGTGCCTGGGGACCACCAGGGGACCCGGTGGGGAGGCGCTCAGGCTGAGCCGGGGCTTGGCTGTGGAACTGGATTATGGAGGAAGCATAACCTCGCTTTGTTCCATGAGCTAGTTTGATGAGATAACCTGATGTAACTTATAGTTGCTTTTTCCTCAACAGAACCAAAGTGGTGCGAGATGATGGGCTCAAGCTGAAGGGGCAGTGAGTCTGCAGCCCCAGCCTTCCGGTGATGTTCAGGATGTGCCTGAGCAGGAGGGGAGGCCCTGCTCCCGGCTGGTGGCCACAGGTCCTCGCCCGTGGCAGGTTCTCGGCGGAGGTCAGAACTGCTCCTGCCTTCCGCATCCAGGGCAGCCTTCGCAGCAGTTCTGACCTGAGCCCTGCGGACAGCCTACCCCGGGGGGCAGTCTGTGGGTGTGTGCCCACGGGGTGAGTCAGGGCGGCCACTTGGAACCCAGTCTACTTGTCCCTGGTCTGCCAGCCAGCTAGGGGCAGAGGACCCTGCAAAGGAGCCAGTCTTCTTGCCTTTGCTCCGGGGAACCACTGACTTCTTCTCCGGCCCTGCTCTCGGCCCTGCCACTCACTCGGGTCATCTGGGGAGCTTGTGAAAAATACACGCTAGGTCACCGGACATCACTGTTTTTCAGAAGCTTTTCAGGTGATGTGTGATCCAGGAGGTGGGAGGCAGCCAGCCCAAGATGCCACCCTGCAGGGCCATGCCAGCGGGCATGCTGTGAAGCAAGGAACTACCACTGTGGGCTTAAGACCCAAGACATTGCATCCCCAGTGAGGGTCTTCCCTCCCCTCCCCCCTTGCTGGGCCTCCCCAGTCTACCAAGTCATCAGGTCTGTGCGGAGGAATCTGACAGATTGTGTGTTTGCTCGACTGAGGGCTGTCATGTTCTCCGCTAGGAACAGGACCGGGACTGCGGGGAGACGGGGCGGTGCCACAGGAGCCCCGGGGGCAGGTGCGCCCCAGGTCTGTGGAGCTGCTCCTCCCCAGGCTGTGCTCCAGGAAGGCACTTGCTCAGGAAATGGAGGTGTGTCGCGATGGAAATGAAAGAGGTCGCCACCAGCAAGGACGTCCCACGATGACAGCACAGACTTCCTTCACTGATTAGAAGCGCTCTGTCGGCCACGAGAATCTAGAGCCGGAGAGCTCGATCCGGAGAGCCCAGGTTAATCCCCCCGCCCCCGGTACAGTTGGCTCTCAGTAGTATTCTGCACGAGTGTCAGGGCCACAGCATGGTGGTTAGAGTCACATCAGAGTGGGCCTCTGACATTCCAAGTACCCACCGGGCACTGCACACAGTTCTTATGATATTATCGACGACATTCCCTGTGCCGTAACCTGACTTCCCTGTGACTGTTTCGTGGCTACCAAACTGTGCTTTTTTTTTTTTATCCTCACCCGAGGACTTTTTTTTTTTTGCATTCATCTTCAGATAGAGTAGGAGCAAGAGAGGGAGGAAGAGAGAGAGAGAAACATCAATGTGAGAGAGACATCGAGTGGTTGCCACTCACATGACCCCAACCAGGGCCGGGGACAAACTGCAACCGAGGTACGTGCCCTTAGCAGGAACCGAACCCGGGTCTCTCTGGTCCGCGGTCCGACGCTCTAACTGCTGAGCCAAACCAGCCAGGGCCCAAGCTGTACTTCTTAATACCTTCACCCCTTTGACCCAGTCCCCCAAACCCCCTCCCCTCTGGCAACCATCAGTTTTTCTCTGTATCTGAGTCTGTTCCTGTTTGTTGGTTATTTATTCCACATAAAAGGGAAATTGTATGGTATTTGTCTTCCTCTGACTTATTTCACTTAGCATAATACTCTCCAGGTCCATCCATGCTGTCACAAAATGGTAAGCTTTCACTCCTTTTTACGGCCGAGTCATATTCCATCGTGTAGATATACCACAGCTTTTTTATCCACTGCTTCCAAATCTTGGCTATTGTACGCTGCTATGAACACAGGGGTGCATCTATTCTTTCAAATTAGTGTTTCAGGTTTCTTCAGATATATTCCCAGAAGTGGAATCACTGGGTCATAAGGCAGTTCCATTTTTAATTTTTTAAGGTAACTCAATACTGCTTTCCACAGTGCTGACCCAGTCTGCATTCCCACCAGCAGTGCACGAGGTTCCCTTTCCTGCACACCCTCGCCAGCACGGTTGCTGACTTACTGATGGTTGTTCTGCCAGGGGTGAGGTGATCTCACAGTGGTTGTAATTTGCATTTCTGATTAGTGACATTGAGCATCCTTTCATGTATCTATTGGCCCTAACCACTGAGCCAAAGCGGCCAGGGCTCTGCCCACTTTTGATTGGGTTGTTTTTTTGGATGTTGTAGGAGTGCCTTATAAACTCTGGATATTAACCCCTTATTGGATGTATCATTGGCAAATGCTTCCCCCTTCAGCAGGTTGTCTTTTCATTTTGTTGATGGTTTCCTGCCTTTTAATTTGATGTAGTCCCATTTGTTTATTTTTTCTTTTGTTCCCCTTGCCCAAGATGTCAGAATATTGCTAATGAAAATATCAGAGATTTTACTGCCTATGTTTTCTTCTAGTTTTATGGTTTCAAGTCTTACATTTAAGTCTTTAATCCATTTAGTTTATTCTTGTGTAGGGTGTAAGAAGTTGGTCTAGTTTTATTTTTTTGCACATATCTGTCCAATTTTCCCAGTATCATTCATTGACTAGACCAGCAGTTTTCAAGATATGTCTACCAGGGATTTCCATCTCGTGGCAGACATGAACTGATTACTAAAATTCTGCGGCACAGTGAAAAATATATTTTTTTGCTGATCTGACAAAAGAAGTAGGTATACTTTTTGTTGATTTACAAAAAAAAATAGCAATTACCTACTCTTTTTGCTTTAAAGTGACTTTTTTAAAAAATCAGGTGCCTGTACTTGTATATAAGGATTTTTGATACTAAGAATTAACCAGCCCTTTTCCGACTGGAACCAGGGAGGGTGCCGAAGAGAAGTAGGTTCCTGCCGTGCCAGAAACCCTTCAGAAGAAGCGAAGGAATCTCGCGGAGCTGAAGATCAAGCGCCCGAGAAAGAAGCTTGCCGAAAAGATGCTTCGAAAGGCGAGGAGGAAGCTCATCTATGAAAAAGCTAAGCACTATCACAAGGAATATGGGCAGATGCACAGAACTGAGGTTCGAATGGCTAGGATGGCAAGAAAAGCTGGCAACTTCTATGCACCTGCAGAACCCAAATTGGCATTTGTCATCAGGATCAGAGGTATCAATGGTGTGAGCCCAAAGGTCCGAAAGGTGCTGCAGCTTCTTCGCCTTCGCCAGATCTTCAACGGCACCTTTGTTAAGCTCAAGGCTTCGATTAACATGCTGAGGATTGTGGAACCGTATATTGCATGGGGGTACCCAAATCTGAAGTCAGTAAATGAATTGATCTACAAGCGTGGTTATGGCAAAATCAACAGAAAACGAATTGCCCTGACAGATAACACATTGATTGCTCACTCTCTTGGTAAATATGGCATCATCTGCATGGAGGGTCTGATTCATGAGATTTATACTGTTGGAAAACACTTCAAAGAAGCTAACAACTTCCTGTGGCCCTTCAAATGATCTCCACGAGGTGGAGTGAAGAAAAAGACCACCCATTTTGTAGAAGGTGGAGATGCTGGTAACAGGGAAGACCAGACCAACAGGCTTATTAGGAGAATGAATTAAGGTTTCTACCACGGTTATTTTCATAATCTGGTCAGTTAATAAACAGTGAGTGCTTTAAATTGGAAAAGAAAAAAGAAAAAATTAACCAATCGGGTGCAACCTTATTATGCAACATGACCAAGATGCAACCCTACTATATGACCTGCATAATGTCCAAGGTTCAAGAGGGGGCAGTCACACCGGACAGCAGTTGTGCTGGCCGCTGTCACTTCTTTATTTGACAATGTGCGGGAGAAGAGGTCAGTGCTCCTGACCAGCTAGGCTTCGCATGTTTTCACGTTCCTGTGGAGCACCAGCTGGAAATCACTAGAGCAGACTGTCTTCACGCTGCTGTGTTTCTGCCTCGTGTCAAACACGAACTGACCATACAGCGTGGGCTCATTGCTGGGCTCTCCCCACCACCCCACTACCTCGGAGAAATACCAGAAGCTCTGGGAGGAAAGCCGAAGGCAGCAAGAGCCTGGGCAGGGGCAGCCGTCATACCTAGTTCAGTGGATGACAAGAAATATTTTAAATGGTGAGCCCAGTTCTCCAGGTGGGTGGCACTAGAGATACCCACAACGACCCCAGACTGGCCCACATCTGTGAACTTGGAGAATGTATGTCTTTGGTCTGACTTGTCAGATAGGCAAGGAACACTCTGAACCTACAACTCCACCTCCGCCTTGGGCTTGTCTTGCAATAGTCTTCGTCCAAAGCCACCAACCGTATTTGGTACATGCATTATGGCATCAGGGGGGTGCTAATCACCATCCTAAGAACCAATTAGTTCACTTACCTGCGTCTCTTCAATGATAGGTCTCAGGCTCCCTGGGATGGCTTCCTATGCCTGTCCCCACCCCCCACCCCCCTGGCAGGCACTCTCTGTGGCATCTTTGATCCATACCAGCAGACTGTGAGGAAAACAGTCACAGGAAGGGCAGGGCCTTTCCAACCGTATTGTCAGCAGAGATTCTGGTCGCGAGCTACAGACAACCAGACGGCCACCCTATGTTTGAATGCAGTTTTTTGTTTTTTTTTAAAGTAGAGGTTTCTGTGGAGCTGTCTGCTGGCTGGCCACGCTCTTTCCGTCCTCACCGTAGGTGGACAAGCTGGAGGAGAGGGTGGCCTCATACTCCTTTAGCCCAGAGGAGGCAAGATCTGCCTGACCAGGAGCTTCCCGCCTGCTTCTCAGAGAAACCACCAGGTGACTGTCCCTAGTCAACAAGTCTCCAGACAACAGGCTTTCCTGAACCCACAAAATAACACACACGTTAAAGTAAAAAGGAAACAAGGATGGTTTATTTGGCCGTCAGGTCTTAAGAAGGCAGCAGAACTAGCAGGGGCCAACCCGAGCCAAACGGAGGTGTCGGGCCTGCGTGTGCCGAGGCACCTGCCGGCAGCACCGTCCACTCCGCGCCCGCCGGCCCCACCTCCTGACCCTCCTCCATTCCTAAGGGGAAGCATATGGAGTCTTTTCCTTGAAAAAAAAACCACCTCACCAGAATAAGCTTTGCTATTTCATCTCTTCCCACCCCATTCCCGTCGGTGCCTTGACACCCCAAATCAACCCCCAAACAGGGCCGGCCGCCTACCTGCTGCTCTCAGGTGAGGAACAGGAAGAAGGAAGCCGGTTATACCACTGAGAAAAAATACTGCATCTTTTAAAAGTCCTTTTCAGAAGGAAAGCTTTTCCAATAAAATTTAAAATTTTTAATATTTAAATTATAAACCAAATGTTGGCAACCATATATAGACATGTTTGCTATGGACAAATTAAGATCGTGAGGTCATACTTTCAAATACAACTTCAGAATTAGTTTAAATAAATCAATACATTTCCTCAGAAATTGTATGATTTCCTTCAGTTTACAATTCATGATATGGAAAGTTTAATATAACGTTAAATAATTTACCAGCTACCCTAAAAGTAAGCTAGAGAAACTGAATCACTATTAGGACCGAGAATAACAAGGCTTTAACGGCTCAGTGGTTTTTCTGAAGAGTATATATAAATCTCGAAAAGAACACTGTTAGCTGAGCTGGAAAATCCATAAAAATAACAGTTCTGCCACAGTGCACAGATGAGTTCTTCCATTTTGCTTCGCCGATCCCTTCACCAAGCAGCTTTTAGGTTAGAAGTGGAAGACATAGAAAATCATACATCCTACACGAAATAAGATAGTGAGAAATAGAGTGTGCAAAAAATAAACTTTAAAAGTCTACACTCCAACATGATGTATGTCTAGTAACAGGGACTTCAGCTGACTTAATACTGGGAGACTCTGTCCCAGGTCTCCCACTGCAACAGGGAAAGTGGTCTTCAGTCCGCAACAGGACGGGGTTTCGTAGCTGGTCTGCCAGGGCTCTGGAGGGCCTCGCTGGAGGAGGGCATGTGGGCTGTGCAGGAGTTTCCTGAATGTACTGGGCAAAGTCCCCAGCTCGGCCTCCACCTTGGTGACTTGCTCCTCCGTTCTGGCCACACTGGCGCTGATCATCTGGACAAAGGCCTCAAATACGTCCACAGACGTGTCTACCCTGGTAAGCAGGTCCTCTGGGCTCGCGTCCAGGCCCCGGCAGCGGGCAGTGGCAGACAGCGTAACCCACAGTGGTGCGCGTGCCCAATCGGGGCCCCGAGGCGTGGCTGTGGCTCTGGGACACGCTGCCTGTCCCTACTTCAGGTGCTGTCACCCTGGGGGCTCAGCCTCCTCCACTGCACCCTCGCGGGGTGGCCCTTCGTGGCCTGCGATGCCCACACTGCCGTGCTGCAGTGACCCCCGGCACTCCTTCAGGCTGGGTCGTGCTCCCTGCCATGGGCAACGTGCCCTTGTGCTGTGTCCTCCTCGGGCAGGCCCTGTGCTCCATGCCCGGGCTCCAGGGCCAAACTGGGGGCAGCTACCCTCCAGCCCTGCCCGGTGGTGGTTTTAAAGCTGCAGGACAATGTAAACTTGGTTTCTCTGGCCCGGCAAGGCTGCTGCTGCTCTGTTCTCAGGAATGTCGGCGGCTCCTCAGAGCTGCCTGTGCGGCCGGAGGCGGCAGCCGTGCCCTCCGAGGGGCTGCAGCTGTGTCCTGGCTCCACAAGAAAGCTCCGCCTCCAGAAGTCAGGGCCAGGTGTGTGTGCTTAATGCGAGACACAGTACAGGTTTTTGCCTTCACCCGGGGGTGTGTGTGGAGGCCCCGGACAAGAATACCTCTCATGAACGGTTTGGCTTCTGTCTAGCATTCACTGCTGGGCCCGAGGGGTAAGACCAGGAAGGCTGGCGCGGCAGGCTGCTCCAGCGGGCCCAGTCCGGGGCGCTCCGCCGGGCACGCAGGGCCATGCTCTCCAGGGGCCGGGGCGCGGCTAGAGGCGGTTGTCTCCATTGACCCGAGTCCTTCGGGGGGCCCTGGTCAGAGGGACAAGTGTCCTTGCTGGCAGTAGGACCGCCCAGACAATTCTAACTGCACCCAGGAGAAAGGGTACTCCTTCCCGTCTCCCTAGCACCCCCCTGCCGAGCTGCCGCGCCCCTCACCTCCTCTCGCGGCTGTCGCAGTGGTCTGCCAGGTGCTCCTGGGGGGCGCGGAAGTCCTCACAGGGCTGCTGGTAGCGCGCTTCAAAGGAGCCTTCGCGGGCGCGGCCATGGAACAGCTGGCCCGAGGCGTCAGAGCCCCGCTCCCGCAGGGAGGTGCCCCCGAAGGGACTGAGGTCGCCGTTCTCCTGCTGCAGTGGGAGCACAGTCAGGCAGGGACTGCCCTGCATCGCGCGCACAGCTGGCACCCCACCCACCGCCGCTACCTTGGCAGGGAAGACGTTGATCTTGACCAGCAGGGAGGCCAACTCCAGGTCCTCGCTGTAGTTGTTCTTCAAGGGCACCGCTCTGTATCCTGGGGGAAAGCTGCCCTCAGCCTGGGCGGGGACCAAGGCCCCCCCGCCCCCCCGAAAGGCAGGCAGGGTGCTCACCTATCTTCAGGCCTTTCACCGGGAAAGTAGCCTGAGCCAGGAAGTTCTGGTCACTGAACATGTCCTCCTCGTACACCACAAAGCGCAGGAAGGCGAATTCAGGGTTACTGATCTGGAAGTGGAAGGGCTTGGCCGGCCACACAGGGTTCAGGCCGTTGTCCACTGCGAAAGCAAGGGCAGAAGGCCTTAGGCCACCACTGGCAGAGGACGGGGCACTGGTGCAGAGGGGAGGACGAGGACAGGGCGTCGGGAAGGCAGGCTCACCCACAAACTCTGTCTTCTGCTTGCTGTTGTCGTACTCGGCTCCAGCCACCTCGATCTCCACAAAGGGGCACACGATGCCCCGGCCGTTCTTCGGCAGATGCCGGGCACCCAGCACCTGCAAGGAAGGCAAAGGTGGGTCTGGACTGTCCTTCCTGCTCCCTCCAAGTCCCCACTATGCAGTGGAGGCAGTGCGCCCTCTGCTGGGCCCCGAGGACACTGCCCCTTGAGTCCCCAGGAGTAGCTGCACAGCAAAAATTTGAAGATGTCTTAGCTTTAACCCAAATTTTCATGTGAGTTTCTGCAATCTATTTCATGTTAAGTCCATATCTGTTTTAACTCAAAAATCTTCCAGATTTCTTACCCCCAGTGGGGAAAGAACAAAAGGACTCTCTTCTCGACAGCAGGGAAGCAGATGCTCACCCCGTGCTGATCTCCAAGGCTCTGCTCAGGCCCATGCACCCTGAACCCCACATCATCAGGGGCGTCAGGGGTGCTCAAGGACTGGTACAAAGGTGTGAGCTCTGCGGGAAGGCCCATCTCCCGAGCACCACGCTGTCTAGCTCGTTCCCGCCGGGGGTCCTGGCTCACCTCCTTCCAGGCAGGGGCTCCCCTTGGCTCGGCCTCACAGGCAGCCTGACTCCTCAATGCCCAGAAACAGCGACACAGCCCGGCTGCCCCTGGCCTGTCACTCCAGCACCCAGACCCAGTGTGGAGACGCCTCACTGCCATCCTACCTCAGAGGACAGTCACGTCTTCCTCCAGCTCAGCAGTCCAGTGCCCCTTCCCCAGTCTCATTAACCAGCACCCCATCCTCGGCGTCTAAAACCAGTCCAGTGGGGCGGCCCCGTCCTACCCTGAAGCCCACCTCAATGCAGATGGCACAGGGCTCCAGCCCGCGGAGGCTGCTCTTGTCGAAGGGGTCGAAGGCCTCCTCCCGCATGGTGCTGGGCTGCAGCACGTAGCCACAGTGCCCGCCGGTCATGAAGAGGGCCTGGTTCATCTGCATGGGCTTATCTGCAAGAGCCAGGTTAGTGGTCTCCAGCCCATGCCCAGGGCACCCCTGCCCACCCCGTCGGGCGCCTCCTCACCTGGGGTCTGAAAGTTGAGGGCCACCAGCTGACTGCCACAGATCCACATGGGCAGAGGATCGTAATTGGAGGAGTCCAGCCGCTGGCCCTTGGGGTAGATGCGGGAGAGCTGCAGCCGGTTGTACTGCAGGAACTTCTTGCCTTTGGCCTTGTTCACGTACTTCTCGGCCTTGGTTTCGGGGAAGGATGACATGTCCCGGTAGCAGGCACGTTCGGTGCCAATCTCTGGGCCAAACAGGGAGAACACTTACAGAGCCTTCCCACCCAGGCAGTGCTGGGGGGCCAGCTCCCCAACCCCTGCATAAAGGGACTAAACACTCTTGTACCCCCCACCATGGGCACCCCAACACACACACACACTCCGCGGGGCCTCATCCCTTACTCTCTTCATCGAAGGGGACTGGCCGGCAGTAGACGACCAGCTCAGAGAGCTCCAGGGCGATCTTCTTCCTCCGCTCCATCATCTTCCCCTCCGTGAGCTGTGACACACACACACGGCTGAGCCCCATGCAGGGGGGAGCACCCCTGCCCCTTCCACACCCCACTGGACAGTCAGCAAGAGCCCTCTACTCGCAGCCTCATGCCACAAGCACCCTTTGTCTCCTCTGCCTAAGGACACACTTGCCCTCCAGGGTGGGATCCTCACCACAGTCCATGCCCCACCCGACAGGTCCCGGGGGCGGCTGCACCGATCCTTTGGCACCATTGGTATCTAGCCTTCCTCAGGCAAAAAGGCCACCTCCTGGTTCCCTGTGACCTGACGGGGGACTGGGGCCTCTGGCTCGATCTTCCATACCCCAATGACCATCCTCCCACCACCCTGGCCAAAAACCTCACCACCGCAGCTCCCTCCCTCCAACGCCACCTCTGCTTCCGCAGCAGCCCACTTCCGCCAGCCCAAGGCTGTCCTCTTACTGCTGATGTCCACTCCCACCAGGGTCTCCTGTACTCAGACTCGTTTTCCTTTCAGCCTAGACCCCGGGATCCATCCCTCCAACCACCTGGTCTGCCAGGACCTTGTCCTTCCAGGCCACACCTCTGGCACAATCCTCAGCACCTGTCCCCTCTCTGCTTGGCTCACAGGTACCCACTGTCCAAAGCAGCCTCGAGTCTCTGTTACAGACCCTCTACCCCACCCCAAATAACGAGGGAAAGGGCCACTAAGCAGTAATTCCCTTATCCTTGGAAATGCTTCCTTCTCTCTGTTCCGTAGGCTCAGTGGAAGGGCCTCCCTCTCCCGGAAGGCTGATCCTCCAGCCAAGCTCGGGCTCCATCTCCTCCCACGTCCCGCTGGCTCCTGCAGCGCTCGGCATTAACGCCTCCTCCAATCCCTGTAAGCCCTCGGCTCTCTCCTACAGCCTGGCCTTAAAGAGCCGGGCCTTTCCCCAATGCCACTGCCACCGACGTGACTCTCAATAGTGTCACCAAGGCCCGTGTCTGGTGCCAAATCCAGCGGGCACTCCCAGGTCTCCGCCGTGCCGGTGCGCCTGGCCTGCCCTGCCCTGCCCATCCGCCACCACTGAGCAGACCCACCTGGACGTCCCCACACCCTAACAGGCACAGCACTGCCGAGAGGTGCCCACACTGCTGCCCACCCAGGGCCCTGCAGGCTCTCACCCTGGCGTCTGCCGTCTGTGCCACTTCGCGGATCTTTTTCACCCAGTCCTGCAGCTCCTCCTGCGAGTCAGCAGCCACGTCCAGGGACCACTGCGCCACCGACGCCATGCTGATGGAGAAGACAAAGAGCCGGCTGTTCTTGCCCTCGGGACGGATGGCTGGGGGAGAGAAGACGCGCTGGCTCAGATATCTGCCCCCGGCACTGCCTGCACTGGTCCTCTCGCCACCCGGGAGGCAGCGCTCCACTGCCGGGGCAGGAGGCCAGGGCTCGAACCCAGTCTCTGCCGCAGGCCTCTGACCGGGGCCTCCCGGTCGCCGAGCTTGTCACACCCCGGGACCCAACCCGTCAGGCTGTGGTGTCAGCCAGCTGTCGGCACCAGCCACAGTGCCCGGCTCGGGGGAGCATGCAGGGTCCAAGTGTGGGGCGAGCTCAGGGTGAGGGCAGCCTTGGGGCAGGGAGAGCCTCAAGGAGAGTCTGACCCTACGGAACGGGGAGAGGAACGGGATGGGCTCACCGATCTGACAAGCTGGCACATCCAAGACCCCCCGCAGCAAGTCCCCCAGGGGGCTGTTCTCGTCCAAGTGCTGTAGGAAGCAAAGCCCGTGGGTTCGTGAGCACGTCTCCGGCACATGTGCATGTGAGGGGATGTCTGCTGCACAAGACTACACAGACGTGCACGTGTCCGCTGGAGCCACGGCACTGCGGGATGATGGGAGTGTGCACAGGGGAGCACGGGCTGGGGGCTCCTGCTCCGCCTGCGGTTCTCGCCTCACCTCCCTCTCGGGCTCCAGAGCTGCCGGGCTGACCATCTCCTCCACATAGTTGGACGGGAACCAGAGCTGCTTCTTCCCACCATAGTCTCCCCGCCACCTGTGGATGCCATGAGCTGCTGACCCCTAGCAACCACCCCAAACTCCCACGAGAAGAGCATCCTTCACCTAAGGATGCCGAGTGGACCAAGCCAGGCCAAGGCAGGCGCTGCAGGGACACGCGGGATGTAGGGCTCTCCGGCCCAGGGACCCAGCTCACCAGCCCCCGTCCTGCTTCTCCACATTCTGGATGATGGCACTCTTAGTGAAAGTCAGCTCGTCGTCTCTCTGAGCCTTGTAGTCGAAGAGGGCTTTGACTGCACACTGCAGAGGAGAAGCAGGGTGAGCGCGCGGCCCCTGCCCACCCTCCTGCTCTGTGGCCTCACGTGCACCCTCGTGCGCCTGGGCTTCCCAGCTGCGGATCAGGTAGCAGCAGGTGCCCTGGTGGCAGCCCCACTAGTTACAGTCCTCACAACTGCCCTGCAGGAGGCTCCAGGACAGATGTCACTGGGGACAGCGCCTCCGCAGGGAAGCTCCTCGAGGTCCAGGCGAAACTCTGCAAGTGGGGCGGGTGGGCTGGGAGTGTGCGGCGCCCTGAGTGCTTCCCCTGGGCCCCCATCACCCCTCATCTAAAATAAGGAGCAGGGCCCTGGCCGGTTTGGCTCAGCGGTTAGAGCGTCAGCCCATGGACTGGAGAGACCCGGGTTCGGTTCCTGCTAAGGGCATGTACCTCGGTTGCAGTTTGTCCCCGGCCCTGGTTGGGGTCGTGTGGGTGGCAGCCACTGCTGTGGCTCTCTCACATCGGTGTTTCTCTCTCTCTTCCTCCCTCTCTCCCTCCCTCTCTCCCTTCCACTCTATCTGAAAATAAATGCAAAAATGTCCTCCAGTGAGGATTAAAAAAATTAAAAAAAATAAAGAGAAGGAACCCACTACCTGGCTGCTAGGGGGAGGAGGGTGCAGGCACAGCCCTCACCCCTTAGAGGAACGGCAAGAGAAGACCTGTCTGAAAGAACCCCACGAGGCGAAGGAGTGGCAGAAACAGTTTTCTGACAAGTGTGCCCCCACCCCCGCTGCTGCCCAAGGAGAAAACCAGGATTACCCCGGGGAGCAGTCTGCAAAGTCAGTGCCGACCCCCAGGGACAGGGGCTGGGGAGGGCTTGGCCCTGAGAGGTGCGGCCATACACCAACCACACATCTCTCACAACCTCTCAGGCCTCGGAAAACCACAAAGACCACAGATGGGCCCTGAGCAGAGAAATACAAACCCCAAGCAGCTGGGGACCTTCCCCAGCTTCCTGTGCCCAGAGCCCAGATTGTACCTTAAAAGTCGGCATAGGGTTTGCCTCCACGTAAAAGCCAGGGTTGCGTCCCTCATACAGGGCCCCATAGTCAGGTTCCTAGAAAGGGGACAGAATGGAGACACATTAATGCCCAGAGATAAAAGGGGTGCTGGCTGCCATGTGCCCCCTTCCCCAAGGGCAGCTGGTCACTAAGTCTGCTCTTTTCACTGATGCCTGGTCCACCCACCGCAGCCCCCAACCTCAGTGGGGATGACTGCAGGGGCTGGCCTCGGCCCTTCCGCTCCACGTTCTTAGCTTGAGGCCCACTCCAGGACTCTGAACCCCACCCGTTCCTGCAGGCACCCTGCTCCCGAGCTCCCACAGCAGAGCCCACAGCCAGCACACGCCGCGAGAGTTCAGTTCCGGGTCACTCCGCAGTGCTGAGCCTGGCCCCCAGCACACTCCTCCCCACCACCGCAGCCCCAGTAGACGGCAGGCCCCACCCTGCCCACCCGGGTCACTGATGACAAGAGTCTCAAGTCGACCACCCATCCTAGATTCTGTCCTTCTATCCACACATGACCCTGTCCAGAACCCTCACTGCTGCTGTACCATCGGGACCTGCCTTTCTACTAGTCTCCCCCGGAACCCCGCCCTCCAGAACCCCACTTCTACAGTCTCCTCCCCGCCCAGGGACAGTCTATTCCACACGAGCTGGACGCACTTCCAGCCTCAGGCCCACCCTCCCCTGTGTGGACTCAGGACCTCCTCACTTCACACCTTGGCACACGGGGGGACCTCTCTGCTTCAAGGCCTGTCCCCCACTTCTCCATCTGCCTAATTCGTGCCCAGTCCTGTCCTACACATCTAGATTACCCCGACTGGTAAATTCTGGACCCCCCAGCAGTGAGCCCGAGTTTCAGGAGGGTCACGCGGGTCTCTCCCCTGCACCCGCTCCACCGCTGTCCTCACCGCTGTGCCGATCTTCTCCAGCGCCTCCTCGTTGATGGGGTAGCGCAGCTTCATCTTGCGGTACAGTGGATGTTTCTCGTAGTAGCTGATGAGGTCGACCAGGCTGTCAAACTCCGAGTTGCCCAGCATCACCGTCTGGCCCTCCTGCTGGACACGGCAATGCTTGATCTTGCCTTCAGCCCTTGACAAGGACAGAACAGTCACACAGGCCCAGCCGCAGCCCAGCACCACCTCCAGCGCCCCAGGCACACCCCTCACCGGAAGGAAATGGCGTAGGAGTTGGGCTCATTCCGTTTCCGCACAAGGAAGGCTCCGTCGCGGGGAACACGCATCAGCATGTGCTCGGCCTGCGCTCTGGTCAGGCTCGCGTGATACCACCTGAGGACAGGGACCAGTCAGGACCCCTCCGTCACCACCCCGGCCCCGCCGCAGCCCCATCTCTGCCCTCACTCTTTGCTTTCGTGGGCATTGGTCTGTGGGACAGGCTCCGAGAGGCGCATCTCAAATTCGTTGCAGCGCAGGGGCACCTGCTGGTAGTGTGTGATGAGGTCATAGAGGGAGTCGAAGACGAGGTTGTCTGTCAAGAAGAACTTGGGGGTCCCAGCATCCTGCCGGGAGTGGATCCGGCAGTGTTGGACCTTCCCGTTCCGCCTGCGGGGGGAGGGGGGAGAGGGAGGGGGGAGGGGAGAGGGGAGGCAGTGAGCAGCAGGCCCAAGCCCCAAACAGACGCCATGTTTCGGGACGAGGGTGGGGTGGGTGGCTCTTGAGGAGCCCAGGCACAGGACAGCCATGCAGGAGGGAGGCCTCTCTCACTGGAGAAGTGCATGCGCAAGGGATGAAATCATGTTCCACCCGAAAGCCTGGAACACAAGACAAACTGGACCACAGCTCACTCTGGGTGGGGCCATCCCATGTGCACCAGCACGGGGAGTGTGTTACCAGAAAGAGAGGGTGTAGTCGCCCACGAAGGTCTCGCTCTCGCGCACCAGGAAGGAGCCATCGGGGGCCCCGGTCTCGACGCAGTAGTCTGTGAGCAGGCGCTCGGCGATGTGCCGCCCGTCCCGTCCTGCCCCGAGCTTCCCGTGGAACCACTTCTCGTTGGAGTGCAGCTCTGTGCTGCCACTGGCCTGCGGGTGAGGACGGCAGCAGCGACACTCAGGGCCTCTGATCCGGCCCAGCCCCCAGGCCCCAGCCTGGGCTGGCCCCTCACCTCTTTGGGCTCCTCTTCATCCTCGTTGCCCTGGTCGCTGCTGGTTTCCTCGGAGTAGTAGATCTTGCTGCTGGTCAGAACGAAGTAGTGGGGATACCACTCCTGGAAGAGAGGAAAGGGGGGCGTGACCGGGCCGTCCACCATGTGTCCCTCCTGCCCGCCCAGCCCGGCGCAGCCCTCACATGGTTCACGGGGTCCTCCAGGTAGAGGATGCCGTTCTTGATGGAGTTGCTGATGTCGTTCTCAGAGTACATCACGGACGTGGGCACCTCCTCATAGGCACTGCCCTCAGCCAGCTTCTTGTGCTGTGGGGGACAGGCCAGGACATGGCAGTCCCAGTCCCAGAGCCCACCTCCTCACCCAGGCCAGCCAGCAGCTGGACCAGTGGCCATGGAGAGGTGCTGGGCAGGGGGCCCCACAGCCCATCACCCCTACCTTGATAAGAATCTTCCTCTTGAGCTGGTTGGGGGAAGGGAGCCCGTCGGCGGCAATGTCCACGGGCTTGGTGAGGAGCGTGTCCCCGAGCACCTTCTTGAAGTACTGGGCCATGTTCCTCTGCTGAGCAATGCTGCAGTGGTCCTCAATGGACAGGATGACCGGGTACCTGCAGGCGCAAGGACAGTGTGCTGACACAGACCCTGCAGTTCAAACAGCCCCTCAGTGTGTGGTGTGACAGGCCAAGGCCTGGGGCCCCATCTACAGGGAGGTGTCCTAGACAGGAGGCGGGCCCTGGCCACTGGGAGGGTGGGGGTGCAAGAGACAGCATACACCAAAGAGGTCAGGAGAGATGAGAAGCAGCCTCCAAATTCAGCTACTGGGGGACCCTGATGATCCCTTCAGCGAGGCAGTAGACACTAGTGACCCGGTTGCTGACAGCTGACCACCTCTCGGAGCCCGTCCCCCAGTGACCACAGCTTAGGGCGCACAGGGGTCGTACAACGGGACATGAGACCAGGACAATCTTCTGGGCTATGAGAGGGATACCTGGCAGGAGAGTGGCCTGAAGAGGTCAGGGTAAGGAAGTATCTTTTAAGGACAGGAAGAGCTTGACAGTGTCCCACGAAGAGGGGGTACAAGGATGCAGGAAGCAGAGTAACGTGGGAAGCAACGGCTCAAGCAAGCAGCAGGAGAAGAACGAAAATGAAAGGCAGGTGGGATTGGGGACAGGGCATTTGAGGGACCCTCTTCTGCCCTCTGTCACAGGAGAGCTGGACGCCCACCCTCCCACTCACTCTGAGGCCACAAAGGCATGGTCCTTGATGGTGTGCAGAACGTCTGAGAACTTGATCTTGGTGGTAAGGGTGTGTCCGTGGTAGATGACTGGCATCCCATCTGGGCCGTCCCAGCAGTCCACTGGGGAGCAACAGGAGAATGGTCAGGTGGGCAGCCGCCCACCCCCTCCCCCACCCCTCCCCCACCCCCGGCCCCAACGCACGCTCAATGCAGCGGCAGCCCATGCGCAGGCAGCGAGCATAGGCTTCCAGGGAGGACTCGCTGGAGAACTGGTCCCCGGTCAGGTACCTGGGAAGGGGAAAGAAAGGCAGGATGGTCAGGTGAGGCCCTCCCGCCCCAAGTCAGGCAGGGTGGGACTGGGGCGCCACTCACGTGTTGTGCGAGGAGGAGATCCAGTAGTGGGAGAGGGGGTTGTCCATGGTGTCCGGGCTCACTGCACCCAGCTGGGAGTTCCACACACTGTTCTCCTTGGAGAACAGGAAGGTGACAAACTGCCCAGGAATACATGGGGAAGAAGAAAAGCTGAGTCCCTGCCCCAGCCCACTGGGTGCTCAGTCTCCAATGGGGTGGGCAAGGCCGACAGTGAGGGGAACAGAGTGGCACCCCTGAGGCAAGCTGGCTCCTGGGAACCCGGCCCGCTCTCTGACAGCAGAGGAGAGAGGCAGCCTCACCTCGTCCAGGAAGAAGTACGGCTCCTCGATCTCTCGCAAGGGGTCTTGGAGGAAGTCGAGCATGAACTCCTGCACCTGGAGCCGGTCGACAGCCCACAGCTCCTAATGGGGGTGGGCAGGGTGGGGCCACATGAGTGGCTGGTCCGTGCTGAGCCCAGCCCCTCCGCCAGGAACCCTGGCCAGTCCCAGCCCGTACCCCCTGGAACTCGAGGAGGAACTGCTGGAACTCGGGAAGGGACACTCGGCACAGCTCTGGCCGCTCCCCTGCCCTGCAACACAGAAGGGAAATGCCTGGCGGCCAGCTGGCTACCATAGTCCACAGACAGTAAGGGGCCCCTTGGAAGGCAGCTCCCAGCCAGCACAGCTGCCCAGGACAGTCCAGCATGGCTCACCTCCCACGCCTCCCACCCACATAGGAGCCACCTAGGGGAGAGCCCCCATCCCCAGCTCAGACCAGACCTCAGGGCGCTGGCTTCCAAGAAGGGGAGATCCATCTGCAGGAGACAGAACCCGGTCAGAATGGGAGCCCTGGGAGGCCAGTGGGAAAAGGGCTCTCAGAAAGCAAGGCTGGGGTGACAGATGGGGGTAGGGTTCAAGAAGAGCTGGAGAAATGGTACCCCGAAAGTCCCCAAGCAGGGCAGCGGGGCTGGGGCGGAGGGCAGGGGGCTCACGCACCGTCTTCTGGGCGCTGTACATGAGGCTGCGGTACAGCTGAGCAAACTGCCCATAGGTGATGTCGCTGCTGCGCTGCTCCAGGTCCTACAGGTAGATCCAGGACGTCCAGTCAGCCCCCCGCAGGGCCAGGGCTCCCCAACCCCCACCCACTCACAGACAGCTCCTGAGGCCCTTACTGTCAGCCGCTCTCGGAGGAAGCGCATATTAGGGACCCGGTAGTTGACCTGGGACAGCATATTCTTCAGGTCCTTGGCTGATATACTAAGGAAACACAAACATCTCCAGTGGCCTCACCCAACCTCTCATAACCTCTGACCTGTGGGCTGAGTCCACCTGGGACTGGACAGGTAAACAACACTGCTGTACTGCCTGTCTCTGGGGAGCAGGGCATGCAGCTTGTCCCTGGCCTCTCCTGCCAGCAGCTACTTGTGCCAGAACCATCTGCCCACCCACCAGCCCCGATGAGGCAGGTCCCTGGGTCCTCTGGTTCTCCAGGCAGCTGCCCTGAGGCACGGCTACTGCTGCGGGGGCCCCAGCTCACCCTGCTGCGCTAGAGCCACCGCTCAGGACCTACCGATCCTCACGATTCCGATCCACTGAGTAGAACTGTTTCCGCAGCCACCTGGAGGGAGAACCTGCTGTGAGGGCCACTTCTCCAGGTGGTGCTCCTGTGTTCCTTCTCCTGCTCCCTAGATCCCAACGCCCCCGACCCTAGCCACAGGGTCAGGGGTGGTTGTTACCTCTCAATCTGCAAGGGTGTGGCAGCCTGCAACGTATCCTCCATCAGCCAAGTCAAGCCCTTGATCCACATGTTCACTTCATCCTCAGATGTAGCTGCAAGTGAGGGGTGAGCAGCTGAACTGAGGACACATACCCCCTCCCCTGGCTGAGCCAGGGACCATGGACATGCACCTTAACAACTCCCCTACCTCCACCAGCCCCTTGGCTCCCACCTTGCAGGCTCAGGGTCTTCAGGCGGAATTCCATCCCATACAGGATGACAAAGCAGTGTGACTGGTCCGGTCGGAAAGCAGGGTCCTCTTGGTAGCGATCAAAGTCCCGTGAGGTCCTCCCTGGGCGGATCTCCTTGATTTCTCGAATATCAACTAGAAAGGTAGAGAAGAGGCCAAGCTCAGGCTGGAGCCTCCGAGACTCAGTCCCAAAACAAGGGGCAACCTGGCTTCCGCACTTGTCACCACACCCTCCCTCAGGAAGGGACCACAGAGAGCCCCTCAGGGGCAGAGAGCCAAGACCACTCACAGTCTCACTGATGACAAGAGCGAGCTGGACTGCACCTAAGCACAGACTGCTCGAAGCTGAGGGGTCTGACCGAGCTGTCTGGGGAGCAGGGAGCTTTGTCCCATGTGCCCTTCCCTTGCTGAGAACAAGGCAGGTTACCTAGACCCGAAAATAGCTGGACTCTAGAAAGGGCCCAAGGCTGCTCTGTGAGGACCACTTCCTGACAAAGTACACAAACCAAACTGCACAGTCCCTAGGGGAGGATGGGGCTGGGCAGCATCGGGCCCAAAGAACTGGCGCCCCCTGAAATGGCGTACCCCTGAAGTCCTCTGCAAGAAGACTCAGCAAGAGGCTCGTCCCTAAGGCAGTGGCTGTACAGGGGACGCTTCCTACCCAGGCTGTGCTCAGCCCGACAGCAGAGGTGGGAGCACACGGGCCTAGATGGCAGGTACCTGCCTCGGCCAAGAACTCCAGAGATGACACTAACGGACTCATCTGACTTTGCCTAGTCTCGGTTTTACCATTTATAAAGCAAAGAGCTAGACTGAATTTCTCCAGAAGGCAGGGCAGTAGGAAAATCATGCATGGGCTCTGGGCTAGAACCCCAGCTCAGGTCACATTAACTTGGCAGGTCGCCTCAGCAGAGTGACAACTACTCTGACCCCACTGCTCCTTCATTTGAGAACACACGACATTATGAGGATGTTGTAAGCTCAAAAGTCCGAAGAGCCAAAGTGCCCAGCCCTGCAGGCAGTGTGGCAGGAGCTCACCCAGTGCCCACTTTCACCAAAGTTGGCCCAGGCACACAGGTTCTGAACTCAGGCCCAGAGAAGGCTGCCCCAGCCACATACCCACTCTCTCCCCTGCAGCTGGCTGGGACCCTGGGCAGAAAGCATACTTCCCAGGGCAGAATAAGAGACTTAGGGAGGACCGGGTCAAGCGGAAGCAGCCTGGCTTAGCCACCAGACCCCTCTCTCTGAGCACTCCCTTAGTCCAGGGCCTCTCGGCAGAGGCTCGCTGCCCAGACTGGCCCAGCAGATGTGGAGCCAGCATGCTGCCTGGCCAGCCTCCGCCCAGAAGCCCTCCCAGCCCAAACCACACACCGTCCTGGCTGCAATGTCCCAGGCTCTCTTCCTGTCCTAGCCACAGCTGGGCTCATCCATCCCCCCTTGAACAGTGTGGGCAAGGCTTCTGGCCCCAACCCCAGGTCCCCCTCACACATCATTGGCTCTGCCAGGCCTGCTCCATGCCCTCAGCAGGCCCCTTGGGCCTGGTTCTCCAGCTGAAAGCCCTGACTTTGCTGCTGGATGCCCTGCCCCCCAGTTCTCACCAATAAGCCATCTTTTCTGAGTCCTTGGAATCTTTTTTTTGTCCTTTATTGATGTTAGAGAAGAAGTGACAGGGAGAGAGAAAAACACCCATGAGAGAGAACATCAACTGTTTGCCTCCTGCATGCCCCCCACTGGGGATAGGGCCTACAACCTGGGCATGTGCCCTGACCGGGAATTGAACTGGCGACCTCTTGGTGTACGGGTCGACGCTCAACCACCGAGCCACCCCAGCTGGACAGAATCCTCGGAATCTTACAGAACAGTGTTCTGGTCCCTCCCCAGGTTGCTCACTAAGGATAACATGCTTCTTTTCTGGCCTTTGATGCCCTTCGAAGTGGGGTGCAATGATTTACCCCCCAGCTTCTGTCCTCCCATCTTCTCTGCTCCATCCAAACTAAGCTGGACCAATAGCAAGAACAGCCAGCACGTTCCTGTCCCATTTCATCTTGGTTCCCAGCCACAGACTGTGTACCTCCCAGACTCCAATTCTACCAAGACCCAACTTAGAAACAGCCTCCTGCAGGGGTCATACCCTTGACCTCTAGTGGCACTACGAGAATGCACACCGCATCTCCCCCTAGGCCAGCAGTGCTTGCTCAATGGCTGAGTGAACAAAGGAAAAAGATAATCACATGGGTGGAGGGAGGGGCAACAAAATGGGAGTAGTGTTTTTAAAATGAGAAGTTATACTCAGGTAGAAACAGGGAGGGAGAAAAATGAGTCACAAAGACCCAGGCCCGGAAAGACAAAGTTTCCAGGGACGGAAGGAGGAGCTGAACAGGGGAAATGCCAGATGAGAAACTACAGAACCACCACAGCACCTGCCCTTGGAAACAGAAAGCATCATGCTTTTCCGGTGCAAAGCTGCTGTCATCCCTCCACCTCTGACACAGGCAACAACCTCACACACACATGCATGCAGGGCAAGGCCTACACAGTGCCCAGCCTGGGCCCTTCCTCTCGGCCCCTCCCTCCAGTCATGCGTGGCAGCTGGGGTGTAAGAAGCCTGCTGCTGGGCCACATGCAGCCAGCCCCCACGTGTGCCCACGGACACTCAAACAACACGCTGATGGACGGCAGCCCTGGGGAAACCCCTGCCATGCCCTGTGCTCCTGTGCTCACTCCCATTGAGACCAGACTGCAGGCAGAACAGGCTCCCACCCAAGGCAGGTAGGCACAGAGCAGCTCCAGGCCAGGCGTCTGCTGGCCAAGCTCCTGCTGGCACACCTGGTCCTTTGCACTTCCCTCATAAGGAGGTGCCAGCGTGGCCCTGATGCCCTCTCCAAGGCCATCAAGCCGGCAGCAAGCTGAGGACACAACCCCAAGGTGAGGCACTCTTCTAGGGTTCTCAAAAGCCACATCCTGTGTGACCTCGTGCCCCTATCCTTCTGCCTCCCAGAACAAAGAGAGCCAGGTCCCCTTTCCTGAAAGAACCAGGCCTCTGGTCCTCCAGGGACTGTCAGGGGAGGAGACTCCCTGGCTCAGGCATGGCCTTGGCCCTAGTTTGGGAGGACAAGGGGGTGAGCCACCCCAGCACCATCGGGGTCAGACCTGCAGTGGAACAGGAAGGGCAGAGAGACCCTCCCAGGGATGAGAGGGGGATGGCTTAGAGGAGCAGGAGAGCAGCAGCACCCCATTCCCAGAGACCCATAACCCAGCACTTATCCCCACACAGAGCTACAGGAAAACAACGCTCAGGGGAACAGTAGGGAAAGGAAAACCAAAGGCATCGAGAGGTCCCCACTAGGCGGGAGCCTGGGGAGGGAGGCGCGGCACATCTCCGAGGACACGGGCTCCGAGTCCAGGGCAGCGCAGGCGCACATGCTCCAGGCAGCGGCTGCTTCCGGAGCCTCAGCAGGCACAGCACCCCACCACCTCACGTGGAGTGCAGTGGGGTACCAGGAGAGACTAACAGATCTGAAATCACAAAGAGCAGTTTCAAGTCCTATTTCCAAGCTCACGGCTTGGCCTTTGGCAAGTCGGCTCTCCTGTGGTGGACACGGATCAAGGGAAGGCTGCGGTGAGCATGGGCCTGCCCAAACCCTCCACATGCAGACAGACCACGACACAAACAGCCACACGGGAGAGCCTGAATCTGCCCCGACTGCCCCAACCTGGGATTCGTTTTTGTTGTGGTCTCTACGAGTAGGAAGTGGCCTGCAGCCTGGCGGCAGGAGCTCTAAGCACGGAGGCCACAAGACTGAGTCTGCTGATGATCAGGAAGGAGACACTCCCTCCTCTAATGGCCCAGGGACAGGCTCCTTGCCTGAGACCAGAGACCAGCAGTTACTCAAAGCCGAGGGCCCGGGTGATGCAGACCCGAAGAGCATCTCTTCTGGACACACAAGGAATGGCAGTCACTCTCTAAGCCTCGGGTTCCTCATCTGAGCCCAGAACCCAGCCAGGCGCCCTGGAGCCCCACAAAGGGCACTGCTGCTCTCAGGGCCAGCAGGAGGGCAGGCCCCCCCCCCACCCCTCCGCCACAGGACCAGCTGTCCTGGGTGGGGGAGGGGAGGGTGCCGTGAGGGAACAAGCTAACTGGCAGGCAGCCAGTCTGGAGTCTGGGAAGGGTAGACAATGAGCACAGAGGACCTGCCTGTGCTCAGCCCCACTGAAGGTAGGGCTGCTTCCTGTCTTGGAAACCTGCTCCCCACCCACTCCCAGACTTTAGGCCAAGCCGCAAGGCCCCCACCAGACCGCCTCCTGCCCAGGGCACCTGGCAGCCACTGCAGGCGTGCTCGCAGGCAGCTTTCCTGTCGACCAGGCGGCTCCCAGGACAAGAATCCCAGGGAAGAAAATGGGGTGGCAAAGGTGGGACCCCAAGACTTTTTCAGGGCTCCTTAATGAGCATGGCCTGAGAGAGCCAGCCCCTTCTGCCCCAGGCGGTAGAAACATGGCTTTGCCCTGACCACGGTGGGCTCTGAAAGTGGGAAAGGGGTCTAAGAATCACACCCAAGACCCTAAATCAGACCCAAGAAGAGGAACCTGTGTCCTAGGGTCCCTGCCCTTGACGAAGCCACTTTCCCTGTGGCCCTACCCAGGCAGAGGTCCCCAAAACATACTGTCCCATTAACCAGCCGTCAGGCAAGGGAGGCGCAGGGAGAACCGTGAGAAAAGAACCAGCATGGAGGGCACGAGGTGCCACCCCCGAGCCCCTTCATCTGCAAAATAGGACCAGCACTCCCGGCCTGTCCTCCATGGCTACTGTGAGATGACAGTGAAATGACAGGCACATGGTGATTTTACCAGGAAGGAACTGGAGGACACAGTGAAAATGAAAAACCCCAAATGAAGATATGGCCATGAAAACCACCACCACAAAAACAGAAGGAAATGGTACATATCACAAACTTCTGGATATGAAACATGGTTCTAATGAAACATTTCTTGACAGTTTTCCATTTCCAAAGTAAAGTAACTGTAACTGTAAACTGATGTAAATGACAATAGAAACAGTTCACATAAAAATATGTTTTACAACTTTAAGAAATTGTAACTCATGATAAATCTGAAAGGCCTTTTTAAAATCGGACAGT